TTTTTTTTTTTTTTTTTTTTTTTTTTTTTTTTTTTTTTTTTCGGGTTTCGATTGTACCCTGACGACTTTTTAGGCCCACGAGGCCCTACTCGGTTTGTTTCGTCTTTTTCTTGGCTGACAATTAGTCCGCGGTTTCTTGGGCCCACGAGGCCTGGTACCTGGTTTGATTCGTTCTTTTTTTGTAGGCGCTCTATCTAGGATAAGTGGCACGAGTGAAGGATCAATACCGAGAGGTGCTTGAACCTTTGCCCTTGTCGCTTTGACTTCGTTTTTCTGAAGCATTGAAGTACTGAGGTTGACGGTAGGATAAATTGGTAGGAGAGTACGGGCAAAAGCCTCCTTCGCCAAAAGGCGTTCGGCACGATTAGGAGTGAGGTTAGTAGGTGGTGTGCTGGCGATGGCCAGTGGGGAATTTGACCTGAGGAGTGGTATCGTGCATCATCATTTCCATCTGATTGCGCTCCACGCGACCACTGTTAACCACTTGTTAACGTGTGTTTGTTCCTTTTTTTTTTTTTTTTTTTTTTTTTTTTGAGCGGCAATGCATGGGGGGTTTAGGGGGTGTGGCAAAGACGGGATGTCGTGGGGGGTGTGTTGATTTGTTTTTTATTTTTTTTCTTTCTAGGGGTGTTTTTTTTTTTTTTTTTTTTTTTTTTTTTTTTTTTTTTTTTTTTTTTTTTTTTTTAGATGCTTTGATGAACTATTCACCCATCTGATTGCGCTCCACGCGACCACTGTTAACCACTTGTTAATGTGTGTTTGTTCCAATTAAGATGCTTTGATTAACTAGTCACAGCTTGTCGGGCAGTAGCCCTGTGTGCTGTTGACTGCTTCATGTGCAGTTCTTTGAATCCAAGACATACGAACTAAAATTTGATTGAGTTGGAGATTTGAGCAACAGAAAAAAGAGATCAGACTTTACTTCTGAATTGTGAAACATCATAACCGAAAAACATCAGAATCAAGGATTTCAAGTCAAAATATGCGAACTAAAATTGAATCGGAGATCTGAGCATCAGAACTACCAGTCAGATATCTACTAGGAACGAGAAATAGAGATAAAACCAACAACATGAGATTAAAGCACAATCAAAATCAGATTACACCTATCAGAGAACTGCGGAGGGTCTACAAGGTGTCTTGACTTACAATTGCTATCGCTGCCATCCCACAATCATGTCATGTCCCTCTCACCTCCCAACCTCCACCTCCTCCTTCGTCGACTGAAAAGCAACTCAACCATCTTGTGGCCCACAACCCGTCGCAGCCATGAACGCATAAGGCTGATCGACGAAGACAATCAGACCGTGGCCTTCACTTACCTTGTATCAGCCACGTAGCGAGACAAAGTCAGCCAAGCCCGTCGGCGGCCCCTCGCTGGCAGTCGGGAGGGAGAGAAGAACATGCCATGTTGGCAAGACGCCTATGTAGGTTATTACCGTCCTTTCACACGCTCCATCACTCAAATGCCACAAACCTTCAGTGGCTTCGTCGCCTTCTCCTCCGCCAGTGATGATTTATGATTTTCTGTAGTTTGATCCCCGTGCCGGATGTCGTGCTTACCTTGTTGTTTACCTCATTCGAGAGAGGATGCCCACCCTGCCGGGCTTTGATGTCTGTCACCTGGCTCGCCACATACCCAGCTGTACGCCATCTCCAAACCTACCCCTCGCGTCCTTTTACCTCTACGCACCTTCCACACTCCTCTCTACCCCTCGTGCCCAGCATCGCGCCCAGACGCGCTTACCCGCCTGTGAGCCCCCCAACGCTGCCCAGCATCCTCGTTCGCCCCCTCGCGCCGCTTTGTCTCCGAAACTGCTCCAGCGGGGGGGCAGCACTCCCGGCCGCGCTGCGCCCCCGGTACCGTGGTAAATCAAATGACCCCCCGCCTTCTCAGACTTTTCTCAAAAAAAACTATCATCAAAGGGCGTCCCTGCTCAGTTAACCCCCTGGTTCCGGGGCAATCAATGTGGGCAGGGGGAGGTCTTCTTAATTTTTTTTCTCAAATTTTCTCAAAAAAAGACCCTTGAGAATGCCTTAGGATTCTGGGCACTCCTTGCAACTCATTTTAGGCATCTTTGATGCTGTTATATCCATGGACCTATGGTTTTTCGATGCCAGAACGACGCTGGCAGGTGCTGGGGGGTTGCCCTGTAACCTGTTGATAGCAGGAGCATGAGGCCTGGTAGAGAGATCTGGGGATGCCTTGGGCCGGGCATTCCAAGGAAAAACCAAGGGTTGCTGTCGGGACGACGCTGGCTGGAGATGGGGTGAGTCGTGTTGTCCTGTAACCTGGCAGGGTGGGGGCATGCGGCCTGGTAGAGCTCGGCCGGGAATTAGACAGTGTTAGAGAATTTTAGAGTGTTTTGTCAGGGAGTCCAGGGGTTCTGAGCATTCGAAGGACTTTTGTGGTTGGGGAGTCCAGGGGTTCTGAGCATTCGAAGGACTTTTGTGGTCATTGCTGCTTGAGTAGCCAGCAATAGGTCAACAGTTATCCACTTTTTTCCTAAATCTTCCTTAACTTTTTTCATAGTTTTCGGATTGTTCTTAGCCGAAGCCAAGTAATGGCCCTGGTACTTCAAATCATTTGTATATTCTTCATGGGACGCTGGGCCCGGTTCCCAGCACATGTTGCTCCCCACGAATAGATTGGAGCATCTGTCCCGAAAAAAAGAAAAAAGAAAAAAGAAAAAAGAAAAAAAAAGCCTCAGGCTCGAACTGTGTTCAGACTAATAAGCCAAAAGATAGATGGACATAACATTATTGTGTAGCAACCTGCAGTGCGGTTAAACATTGCGTGGTGGTTGCATCGACGACCTGTGGTTGGTTGTGTGTGACTGGGTACACCGGGACGCGGAGAAATCCGTGCTGGGGTGCGGTTAAGTGCTCATCTTGGGGCTTAACTTTCACCCCAGTCCACTTAGCCGTTTGGTTAAGTGTTTGCCTCCCAAGAGGGAGGTCGCGCGTTCGATTCTCGTGAACGTTGTGAGATGCTTTCAGGATCGACTCGTGAGATGCTTTCCCTGTATTTCCCTGCATTGTAATACACATCACATCAAGTTTAGACATGATTGGGCTTAATGCCTCAGTTTGTGTTGGAGACATTGTAGATCAGATGGATAGGGTCTTCCATCATCTGACATATATTGCTTAAGCGTGCATACATAGGTAGTTGTTGATATCTACATTTCTGCATAGGGATGCTGGATCCGATCTCCAGCAGAGACATTCAAATCTTTGTACAGCGATGCTGGACCCGTTTTCCAGCAGTTACATTCACATCATTGTACAGGGACGCTGGACCCGATTTCCAGCAGGTGTAGCTAGCTCCCCACCAATAGATGGAGCCTTCAACGTCGGGACCTACTTACTGGGGATGCTCTTATCACCTCGTTAAGTAGGTTCCCGTATACAAAGTTTCAAAAAAAAAAAAAAGCCACAGCCTCCTACAGGTAGTGGTAGTGTTTGTATGGCCAGATTTGTCTGGTTGGATAGAGATCAGCCACCAGTACTTAGCCTCTTTTTCCCGAGGCTAAAAATGCCCTGCGCGCCAAAGAAAAGAGCCGCTGTGGACCTTCTTTTGGCTGTCAAGCCATTTTGTGACAGCAGCCAACCCCC